CCTGAAAGTACAAGTATTGCTCCTTAATAGCCAAGTTACACACTTGTTAATTTCTGTCTCTTCTCATTTCTGTCTCTCTTTCTTTGAATTGCTTTTCCTATGGGGCTTTTGATTCAACCACTTGACTCTTCTTTCCCTACTGGGAAACAACCACAAATGCCTACATTTACCCCATCTCTCTTCCTTTTACAGCCTTTTCCCCTGGCAGTTTTAGAGTCAGAAGGCCTGTTCTTCTTTCATTCTCTTGAGAAAATTAAAGATACTTGTTGATTCAAACGGCTGCCACCATTGTCAAGCAGCCCACCACAGATGACTCCAAGAAGGACATAATGGAAACAGCCTTTCTGTGCTATCATGCCTTCACCCAACCAGCAAGGATATTTCATTGTGCAGATGGGGAATCTACTTGACTATCATAACTAAGAACCCATCAGTCCCATTAAGTAGACCAGACCAGAAAATCAGCTCCACAGGAAGACCAGAACGACGCTTTATTGAGATGGACTACAATAACAGAATCTTGCAAGTCTGATTGTGCTATGCCTCCCTCCTTCTTATATCCCAGTGAATCAGCCTGCCTGCTTCTGAATATTATCTTGCTTCCCGAGACTTAAAGAATGTTTCAGCTCTCTTTGCTCATGTCACTGTTGGATTGGCACGTTCTGTTTCCCCCACCCCACCCCACACACACACAGATTGTGTCTGAGATAGATAGATGATAGATGATAGAGATATAGATTGATAGAAGATAGATAGATAGATAGATAGATAGATAGATAGATAGATAGATAGATAGATAGATGATTGACAGATGATAGATGAGAGAGAGATGATAGATGAGAGAGAGAGAGAGAGAGAGAGAGAGAGAGAGAATTGTTGTTTGGTAAATCACCCAGGGCAAAGATCTGCCCTACTTTTTGTCATAATGTATAATGGTATGTGAGAATGACCTTGGGAGACAGGGGAAGAGCCAGAGTCAGGGGAATGGTCAGACAAGAGGCAGCTGAGCCCGCAGAAGGAACGGGGATGTGGCAAACATCTCAGAAGGGACCCTCCCTAGTTTCTTGGGCTGAAAAAGCGACGGGGGAGAGATGTCCTTTCAGACTTGCAAGATTTTGTTAAGGTAACCTTGATGTCAGCCTTGCGAGGTAGTCCAGCCAGGAAGCAAGACCAGATGAACTAATTCTACTTTATTGTAAGGTTACCTTAACAGAATCTTGCAAGATTGAAAGTACATTTCTCCCCCCGTCGCCTTTACAGCCCAAGAAACTAGGGAGGGTCCCTTCTGAGACATTTGCCACATCCCCATTCCTTCTGCGGGCTCAGCTGCCTCTTATCTGACCGCTGCCCTGGCTGCGGCTCTTCCCCTGTCTCCCAAGGTCATTCTCACATACCATTACATAATGCATCATGTGTTTCCAGAGGATACTTAGAAATAAACAGCAAATTGTTTCTGCATATATATTTTACATAGTATATAGAGTGCAGAATGCAGAGAAATTCTCATTTTCCTCTCTCTCCTTCCTTCCCGCACAGCTAGGGGAGAACCAGCAGGGTTTTCAGCCATCCTTTCTCCCTACTTGGGAGGACTACCCACTTGTCCCCCCACCATCCCTGCAAGTTCTTGCAGCAGCCCAAGAACAATATTGGGCAGATGGTGTCCCAGATTTCAACAGCACAAAGACAGGAAGAAAACCAAGGGGCTCTTTTTGGAAATGGCCTGTAATTTGCAGATTGAGCAATCAAACCTCTGCTTGCAAGCAGAAGAAAGGAAAGGAGAAAAAAAGAAGAGTGACTGTTAATTTTCTAACATGTTTTCACACATCTGAGAAAGCTAGACACAAGAGAGCTGGAGGAAGCAGATGCAACCCTCCGCTCAAAGCCTCGAGCCGTTCAACTGCTGGAGGTGGAGTTGCTCCTTCTAACTGAAACCAGCCCCACTGAGTTCAGATGGATTTCAGCCTACGTCCAGAAACGGGATGTGCGACCCTTGTCCAAGGAGGTCAGAGGCAGCTTTTCCTGGCTCTTTCCAAGGTACAGATTAGTTGGGCCTGAAAACAAAATAAGAAGAACCTACTTGCAAATACTTGCCAAGTTTTTCTCATAAACACGAAGTTGCAGAGGGCCATGATAGCTTCCTGAAGGTTTTTTGTTGTTGTTTTTTAATTTGCAGCTCTAACCTGATCCCTGCGGTGCTGATCACCTCCCTCAAAAGTGGTGCAGTTGGTCATAGAATCAACTGAGTTGTGTTCTGGCACATAATCCCCCATAGAAAGAGCCCAGGGTAAGGTTTTGCTGCAAGCTTGTGTTAGGAATCTGCCAGAGAGCTGTTGATAACCTTGCCTACATGACCTAAGCTTTTATAGAATTAGATGTTCAGGACAGCAGATAAGTCACACCTTGCATCATGTCAGCCGTACTACGTAGACCAGACCAGGAAGTTGACTCCACAGGAAGACAAAAACTACTTTTATTGAGATGGGCTCCAATAACAGAATCTTGCAAGTTGGATTTTGCTGCACCTCCTCCCCTTCCTTTACTCCAGTGAAACAGGGAGGTGTCCGCCTGAGCGTCTTCCAAATGTATCTCGCCGTTCTGGACTTAAAAAAACGTTTCAGCCCCTTTTGCCTAGTGAACAGCTCTTGCATATTTTCATCATGGTCATCTTCCTTACTCTCTACACGTCTACTCCAAAGAAACATTCTCCAACTAAAATACAGTGTACTAACTCAAGAGTACAAGAAAGATCTTAATGTCCCTGATTAAGATCTTTCTTAAGATCAGCTGGTGTGATCACTGACCTTGAGCCAGACATCCTAGAGAGTGAAGTCAAGTGGGCCTTAGGAAGCATTGCTAACAACAAAGCATCGCACAATTGCACTCATTTCACATGCTAGCAAGGTTATGCTCAATCGCACAATTGCACTCATTTCACATGCTAGCAAGGTTATGCTCAATCGCACAATTGCACTCATTTCACATGCTAGCAAGGTTATGCTCAATCGCACAATTGCACTCATTTCACATGCTAGCAAGGTTATGCTCAATCGCACAATTGCACTCATTTCACATGCTAGCAAGGTTATGCTCAATCGCACAATTGCACTCATTTCACATGCTAGCAAGGTTATGCTCAATCGCACAATTGCACTCATTTCACATGCTAGCAAGGTTATGCTCAATCGCACAATTGCACTCATTTCACATGCTAGCAAGGTTATGCTCAATCGCACAATTGCACTCATTTCACATGCTAGCAAGGTTATGCTCAATCGCACAATTGCACTCATTTCACATGCTAGCAAGGTTATGCTCAATCGCACAATTGCACTCATTTCACATGCTAGCAAGGTTATGCTCAATCGCACAATTGCACTCATTTCACATGCTAGCAAGGTTATGCTCAATCGCACAATTGCACTCATTTCACATGCTAGCAAGGTTATGCTCAAAATCCTACAAGCTAGGCTTCAGCAATACATGAACCGAGAACTACCGGATGTACAAGCTGGGGGGAGGCAGTGAAGGACAGGAAGGCCTGGCGCAATATGGTTCATGGGGTCACGAAGAGTCGGACACAACTTAACGACTAAACAACAACAACAAGCTCAAGAGTGTGTAACAAAAAATGGGTTGAAATCCCACCATTCTGGGAGGTGAGAGGTGATGATCCTATACCGAACTGCATTGGAACGGCTGTCCAATCTGAGCGTACTTTACAGGGCCAAAGAGATGGAGAGAGGAACTGTGGTTTGTATGACCTAGTATGACCAGACTTAGTATGACCTAGGCAGCAGATTGAATGTGATGGCATCAGATGGCTTGCTCACTGCCCTCCATATGATATTAAGATCTGCCCTCTATGTAGGTTATTAACCATTTCTAAAGTTGTACTCATCTACAGACAGTGTTGGAGGACAGCTGTGTTAGTCTGTGGTAGGAAAAATCAAAAGAAGTCTAGCAGGACTAACACATTTTATTAAAAGACATAAACTTTCATGAGCTGCGTCTCACTTCGTGAGATGTATTAGATGCAGTGAGCAACAGTTCACAATAGCTTGCCCTTTTTAATAAAATACGTTAGTCAGAAAAGGTCCTATCAGACTCCTCCTCACATAGATCAGCAAATGTTACACACAACCTCTCTTCACCCCAAACGCACCAGTGCTCAAAAGGGCCTTTTGTGCCTTCAGAAATGAGTCAGGGGGTTGTTTAATCACATGCACAAGTGTGAACTAAGTCAGCTGTTCTTTAGAATCATCCCATTGAAAATGCCCAGACACAGTACAGGCAAATTTCAAGAATATCCAGATTTAACAACTATCCCTAGGACCTTTGGAACAACAGGATGTGGGGGCTATTCACTTAGCACAAGGGAAGCCAAGAGCCATCTAGCTCCACGCATCCGATAAATAACACCCCCAGCCCTGTCCGATCAGTGGCCAAAAAAGTGTTCCATGGTAATGGTTTCATGCTGTTTTGAGTAAGCCTTAAAACGTAGCCAATGTTGAGCCATGGGGGGACTGAGAATGAAGATGGGTGTGGTCTGCCCCCATCCCCTGGAAGCCTCATGCTTTTATCCTCACCCTTAAAAATGTGAAATCAACGAACAATGAATAAGGCCAGAGGAAAAAGTGATTCTCCCCGAATATAATCCCATCTCCAGGTTGTCCCCTGCAGCGTGAGGTTGAGTTGCAGGGTTTGCCTTCCCCAAAGCTCGTCTACCCCGGGTTTAAAAGAAACAAAGAAAAATGTCCCCAATTCCACCCCCCTTCCAAAGCGTGCCACAAGGAAAGATCCTAGCTCCGCTTAGGTCCATCTGTTTCTCATCAACCTAACCAGTGAGGCCGTCCTCCTCCACAATATTAAGTGTGGTCTCTGCGCATAGCATGCCTCCCATAGTTTTGCGACAGAAGTTTGGATTTCAACCTCCAGCAAACGAGGTCAGTGGAGCCCTCCTTAAAGCTTTAAGGTAAGACTTAGATGTGTTTTCCCATCCGAAGGCAGAAGACAATTGATTACAAAACGCTGTTATTTATTTGAAGGCACATTTTGGTAAAACAATCACAAAACATTTTAAACAAGCAGTCAAAATAAATACTCCAAGAGATGTAGCAATCAACCTGATTGCTCCGAGTGATGCTCAGGGGCACATAATCATTCTTTCAAGCACGCATTTCTCTAAGTGCTTCGGCTTTCAGTGGGGAATTTGTGGCATACAAGAGCATCATGTAGGTCCTGCCTGTGTTCAACAGCACAGGAGCATCCTTTTTTCAACTTAGCAAATCAACATAATGCCCTTTTTAAACAATGAATGAATCAGTATTTCAGGTAGTACCGGTGCTTAACAATCCCAAGCAGGCTAGATCTGCGAGAGGGATCACCTGTACACGCTCCCACCCTGCACAAATCTTTAGGCATATGGCTCTAACAGGCATGGTTTGAGAGATTCTTTCGCCGTTGTAGTTTTGCAGGATTTTAAGTCAACCCCGTGTCCCAGCAAAGGCCAATATTTGTGCTGCTATTCCTGATGTCCTGCCACAATATTTTCAAGATCAGCTGCAAGTCGCTCTAATGGCAGAAGCCTCTCTTGAATCTGCATGTATAGAACTGCCCTACCAGCTGAAATCAGATCTTCTAGGCCCCTTTGGAACCCCAGCAGACCATTTTATGAACTAGAACTCTTTGTTTCAAGGTAGTTCAATCCTCATCATCTCATTTATTGTGGATTTTGCATTCCCCCAACTAAGACTATCTATGCTTTTCCTATTGATGTGGGTTAGTATTGAAGTTCTTGGGCTTCATCAGAATGAGAAGGAGCTGACATGCTTTTTCTCATTCTCTTCTTCAAAGGTAGTGCCCCAGAATCTGCCTTGATCTCTGCTTCCTGAGAAAAGTCTCCAGCTTAATAAAGCTTAAAAAGAAAAAAAAATACACATCCCTAATCTGAAAAAGAAAACCAGTTAGGTGGAAACCATAGCTTGATGACCAAGCACATGGATTGGCACGAACAAGTCTCTAAGTTCAAAATTCCCAGCTTCTCCAGGAGGAGTTGCTGTCAGCCAAGGAGATAAAATCGAACTAGGTGGCCCAAGCACCTCCTCAGAATAAGGTAATTTTATATCTGCTCTATTCTAATCCAATACCTAAAGAATTTAATCTACCCCCCCCCAAAAGAAATTTCAGCAATAAAAAATAAAATAAAATTTACAATAATATAAAATATAGATATCATGTGGTTTCTTAAAGGGATACAGAGATGTCTAACCAGCACATTTTTCACAGGATATTCATCTACCCAGGATTAATTTTGTCCTTGGGTCTGGTTTTACATATATTCTTTCCTCTCTGTGTCCCAAAAGAATAAAGGGTTAAGCAGTAGGGCACATTCACAGTTGAGTATAACACCAAGGATAAATTGCATGTGGAGATGGGTTACTGGAGATCCAGCACTGGCATATAGGACTATTTAATGGAGTCAGTTTATGTCTTTAGCTGCCAAGTGTCAGCCTTCACCTGTCCATCAGAAAGAATATGAATTCATATGAATGTATGTACCTGCTCTTTCAAGATGCACATCTGGAAGGACTCATAAAAAACCTTTGGAACTGAAGCACTTCTGATTCTTTGCTGCTTGCTCAACATGCTTATATTCTAGCACATTGAACATGCGCAGCTGATAATGTGGAAGACCTCTACCAATCACGAGAAGACACTGTATTTGGGGCAACTCCACAGTGGAGTTCCTTTCTTCCTCCTCCCTCCCCACCTCCAGTTGCAAAACTCCCTACCAAAATGAGGATATATCCTGTCTGGAGTTTGGGGCTGTCCATCCCCACCCCAGGAATGTGACCAACCATCTTCCAGAATTTTCCCACCTCTTCTACGACTAATGTATAACCATCATCAGAACCTACCACTAGAATCTTTGGGTGTGGAACCACACAGAAATGCTGTTGATTCTTGCCCCTAAGTCTTCCCAACAATACAGACTGCGAGGCCTAGCAACTCTTTTCATTCCCCAAGAACAATGCTAAACCAGACCCTTTGTGGGAAAGTAAAAGAGTGCTTGGGTGCGATTGCTACACCCTCACTTTAAAAAAAACCCAGCATGCATCAGTGCTCTCAAACCGACTTTCTGTGGGACTTGCAGTAGTTGAAAAGGTCAAAGCAATTTGCCATTGATGCTTTTTATGCTAAATTCTGAAAGGGAAGGGAGAAAAAATAGCCCTTATATATTTAGACCCTGTATACATTTACATACAAAACATGTTTTAAAAATCCAAAAAGGAAAACTTCAGTGTGGAAGATCTAAGCTGCAAGACTGGGGGGAAGGAAAAAAAAAAAAAGCTTGAAAAATTAATGAAATATTCTGCCCCAGAGTCTCAAACGGTAATTTGCTGGTTTTCTCTGAAAATGGGTCTTTGGTGAGGTCCACAAGAATCCTGGAAGTTCCTGTACATCTGATCATAATGCACCTCCTCTCCTACCGGGTGGCCCAAAGCACTCCTTTCATTCTTCCGGGCCTCCTCCACCAGCTGTCGGATGCTCAGCTGTTCAATCTGCATTCAGAAGACAAGGAGATACCTTGGGTTGGATCATATGCTATGCATGAAGACCACACGGTTCAATGGAGAAGTTTTAAATGCAAAGGTAAAGTGTCACAACAGCAGCTGTGTCTGTTTAGGGTTTTATGGTTTTCAAGGTGGTTTGTGCACCCTCTGTAGCATCCAGTGTCTCTCTAAGGTCAGGATATGAACGATCAAGATTTCCTGATGTACAGCTTTCTGGTCTCTGCACTGCACAGGAGAGACGGTGCAACAGGTCACCTGTTAGCTAAGCCAACCAGCTCTGCGGGCAGTGGCCATAACGCCCGTCGCTTCCTTTTCTCTGCTCAGCTCAGCAGCAGCGCACAGGGGCTGAGCTGTTCCACAAGGAAGGGACCCATCCGGTTCAGACATTGTGCTAAGCTCTAATGTGGTTTCTCTGGTTTTATTCAAACATGTGGCCTGAACATAGTCATTGTGACTAGAAACCATGCATTAGCCCTTAGCAGGGTGCAGTGGCTTATTTAAGAGAACATGGTTAAGCACAGGATGGATCCCTCACCAAAGATTAAATCTCCAGCAGGGCCTCTTCCCATGGGGGGTGTATTTGGGCATTAAGATTTGGAGGAAAGGCTCTCCTGAAGATGCTCCCTCATGCCAAGAGTCCGCCTCTCTGCCAGCTCCCCTCCCTTGCGCCCAGGCTGTGGAATGCCCTTCCTCCCAAGTTGCACTTGGCTTCTTTCAAACTTTTAAAAGATGCTTCGCTGTTGCCAGGCCTTAAATTGTTCATTAATCCTGTTGTGTCTTTGCATCTGCATTCCTTGCACTCTTCATTGTACGGATGATAGTCGCCTTGAGTGCTCAAATTCAGCAGAAGGAAATGATATGGGTCAAATAAGTAGAAGTGTGCATGGACACATGTAAGAAGAGATCTGAGCTTTGACCTCACGGTTGTGACCACTTTCTTAACATTTATGACACCTTGTCCCCTCTTTAACTTCCTGGACTGAGCCAGCCCAAACCAGACAGATCTTTTGCAGCTATGCTAAACAAGTAGACTGGCCGAATTGGAAGGACGTATCGTTAGCTGTGTGGCAAAGCTGCATGTCTGAGGCTGACTTTAGTTGACACAGGTAGGTGGTTCAAGCCAGCCCACAGGCCAAGCACCCATTCTGGGAGTCAATGTTTTTAATAGTGCTTTCTGTGGTTCACTGCACCCTCTCTGAGAGCTTATTTCTTTGTCTCAACTTGGGGCCCATTCTTGCTTTCTCTGCTTGATGCAGACTTTTCAGTTCTGCCAGCAAGGAGCATGCCAGTTCAGTCTCTGCCATTCATCCCATTGCCCATCGTTGCTACTTAATCAGTGCTGAAGAGCAGCAAATACAGTGCCCTGAAGAGATATCCAGAAGCAGGGAGATTCTAACAAGAAGCTTTTAAGGCTAGGGAAGAAAGAGCACAAGGCTGCTTGCCATTCTCACAGTGGGCAACAGACAGTCCAGATCACTTCCACCAAGTAAGACACAATGCTCCTAAAACGTGAGTTAGTCATCTACAGTATATGGCTGCTTTGAAAAAGAAAAGTGAATATAACACAAGAAAGGAGGACCAGCTCTGCAATTACCCTTGGGAAGTCCTGACATTTGAACTATGGACAAGGGAACTCAAGTCAGAGCTGGTTCCATAAATGACATGATGACCAATTGTCCTGCTCACCTCAACCAGGATCAGCTTGCAACGTAAGGGGACAGCATCTGGAAATTCCTCTCCAAAACACAGAATCACCTTGCTGTTTGGGAAGCGGTCTTGATTGTTATAATACTGATGGAGCTCTAGAAGGGAAAAACAAGCAACCTTTAACTCGTTGAAAGGGAGGGACAGGCGATTGGTCTCAGTAGGTTCAGCAGCACACGAAACACAAGGAACCAGAGGGAAGGAGAAAGATCAGGCCCCTGTGCGCACATAAGGCATTGCCAGCTACAAGTCCTTGTAGGCTCCCTCTTGTATTTTTAGTTAGTTCTGTAACTATTGCATTTCTACCTTGTCTTCTCTCTGAAAGTTCAAAATGAGGCACAGGGAAGTCTCCTCTCTCTCTACTAGATCCCCAAAACAACAATGCTATGAGGCAGTTTGGTTGAGCTCCATGAACCTCTATCATCTCCGGTACTGACCCTGGTTCTGAATTGTAGCATTTCTGAAAACAAGAGGATTGATGATGCTGGCCATCAAGTCAATGAACTCTTAGCACCCACACAGATGGATTTTCTCCCAGTGAAAAACAAGGTCAACGCAGACAAAAATGGGATAAGCAACAAATATTAGAGGAGAAAGTACAGCTTTGGAAGGCCAATATAAAAGTAGCTTTTAAAAGTTGTTATAAATTCTATCAAGATCAAGCCATGTTTATCCATTGTGGGCTTCACAACCTGGACACCAACAAGCTGCCAATTTGTTTCCAGGAGAAATATGAAGTAGTGGTTACTACCTTTGAAGCTCTCCATGGTTTGGATTCAGGCTACTTAGGAGAACATCCCTTGCTTTCCTTCTCTTAATAGAAGAACTTTTTGGAACCTTTCTTAGATAGGAGATGCAAAAAGAAATGGCATGCAACGTGCAGAACCCATCGGTCTAAGTACTTGCTTTATCTAATTTATTCAGGTTGTAGATTGCCTCCTAACTTGACTTTTTTGGAAGAGCATTTTGATATGGACTTGAGTCTGAGATTATAGGACAGGGAGGAAAATTTGCACCTTCAAACCTGTTTTCTGCAGGTCCCTCCATCTCACGGACACACACTGACACACATACTCTCACACACACACATCTCAATGATGTAAGCCTAAAATAGTTTTAACATCATTTAAAAAAGAAAAGGAAACCATGTCTCATCCCACCTCTTCCTCCAGACAAAGAAAATTCAGCCTCGTCCACAGGCACATTTAAGTCTTATCAGCCCATCCAACGTGGGCCCAAACTCTTTGAGTTTGGCCCTCAGCCACCAGAAATTTGCCCACCCTTAATTCAGGGTGCGTGTGGTTCTTGACCACATTCTCCAACACCAAGGAAAGCAAAACACAGGCTGAACCTTCTCACTGACCTCTGAGGAAATAGTTGGTGTCAAATATTTTGACCACCTCATCCCGGTCCAGCTTGTTGGGTTTCTCCTTGCAGGCCACGGTGTTCCCACTCCAGAAGACCCTTCCTTGGCTCAGCCGCTTGATGAAGATGCCCTGTTTGTTGCAGTGCAGAAGGACACCTCGTTCCAGGTGCCCAAAGAGCTTTCTGGTGATCTGCCTCTGGCGCTCATTGAGAATCAGCTCTGCAGATGGGAACTGCACGTGTTCCAGGCTATCTATGCAATAGGGCCCCTCTCCCAGGGAGATCCTGCAGCCCTCAGGGCGAGAGGTGGTTGTGCTCCCCACCAGCTTCCCTCCATAGTAGAAGTTGATCATCATTTGGGAGTAGCCTACAAAGTCACACATGGCAGAAGTCATCACACGAGTCTGCAGGCAGTCCGTTTGATGACTGCAAGGGGTGGACCCACAGGATCATTTCAAGAATGGGATAATGGGGTGGAAGAAAGGACTCCGAGAAACAAGTCAGTGAGAAGAGAACCGCTAAATGCCTTGGCTTCACCAAACTGCATCAAACTCTGCTTTCAAACATAAATTTTCTGGGGGCCAAACAAAGCAAACTAATGGGGCCCCATGACTGCTTCTCCATTTTACTTAAATTCTTGGGAAAAACAGCTGTGGGGGACTGACAAGAAGCTTGGTCCAAATTGGGAAGGCTGGAATTAGCCTTTTTTCCTCTTACACCATTTCTCCAATGGAAGCTCCCTGGGAGATGTTTGAACTTCATCGAGGAAATGGTACAAGGTTCTGCTGCCGTATTTCCTTCCTCAAAGAGGTCCATCCCTTCTCAGCCTTATTACTGAACGTGCTTGCAGCTACCAGCCAAAACTGCAAGATCCCATCTTAAATGTCTCCTACAAACGTTCTCAACGTTCATTTCTCCCTATCCAGGCTGGAACCCCATGCCCTGTCCCCCAGTATTTTAGGGAGCACATGCACACAGTCATTGGCAATGTGAAAGCAGGATGTCAGTATTGATTTATTTGTTTATATTTCGAATTTAGACACTCCCCATCTCACAAGGAAGTGACCCTTATATAATAATAATAATAACAATTGTTGTTGTTGCTGGTCGCACAGTTAGCCAAATGTTTAGACTGGATTTGGCATTTTTATTCACCTATCGAGTCCTTCCCAAGGACCTGGGATAGGCAGATTATTATTATCCATTCTAGACACTCCCCTCTCCCCAGTAGCACACATAACACTTATGATCTTTGACATGGAAACAAAAGTGAGGCCAACTGAAAAGGAAGTTACTGGTTGAAAGACCATCATACCTAGAAGCGGCTCATATGCAGCAAACCCAGTCATCAGGGACAAGGCTAGGGATTTAAAAAATATATATTATTTTTCTTGCAAGCAGAACACACATATGTGATCTCCAAATCAAAACTTTCCCTTAACATTCATGTGCTGGATTAAATTAGATTCCAGCTGCTCCATCCAGGACCTGTGCTATTGATTCATTGGGAGCAACTCTTGAAGGTCTCCACAACTTTCTTCTGAGATTGAGATGTTTTGGTGCTGGGCATTGAACTCTGCCCCTTCAGCCAGAGGTGTCCCTAGGCTCAATGCCAGCATCCACTATCCTAGACACAACTGGCATCTCATCCCCAAACTCAAGGACTGATTTGATTGGGTTTTCTTTTCCTTCTTGAAATTTGGCACCCTAGTTAAGTTGACTCCATGAGCAACCACAAAGTTCGCTTACATGGACAGGTTGCCCTCCACCTTCGTCAGAGAAAGCAAGAGCAATACTGCTGAATTAAACAGTGACCTGGCCGGATTAAAATATAAGCAGAGTGGTCTAGTTTATTTATTCCAGAAATAAGTAGTAACAGAATGGCATTCTCTGTGCCTAGGAAAAAGGAGAGAGTTTGGAAAACATGGTAGGTTCAAAACACCTGGAGATTCCTCTTTCACCTGGCGAGCCGTTCACTACATCTCCTGTTCAACAAAGGATGCTTATCTAGTGGGTGAAAATAGTTCTGCCCTAGGAAACTCAGAGATAACTGAGGTCCTAAAATTTAAAGTATTCAGCCATCAAGATTTATGTAACATTATGGTGTTTGCTCTCTTTCAATGAAGAGATTAAAGAAGCCCCTGTGAGAATCTTGTTGTGGGGTACAGCTGGTTGTCAAAAGTTTGACAAATATTTTGCTTGTGCCACAATAAAACATCTGTGCCATCAGTGGTCTTTCCACATCATCGATATAACATGAATATGTGTGGGTACTTTGCCAAATCAAAGCCCAATTTATATTCTTTCTGCAGTCCTGCACAGACTTCCAAAGGCTTATGACTGAGGAATTAAAGCAGCCATGGACAATATAATTTTGATGGGGCTGGCACAAGTCCTTTGCCCAACAACCCCATGACAAGTATGACATTGCTTGCCCTCTCCTTCCCCCAGTCAATGGATGCCTATGACAAAGGATGGGTTCTGTCTGAGCTTGGCTGTTTGCTTGCAGACATTTCATTACCCAACTGGGTAACATCATCAAGGCAATAATGATGCTCCCTGTTGAAGCTACCTAGTTGAGTAATGAAACGTCTGCAGGCAAGAACTCCACAGTTCAACCCTGAACTACAGATATTCTCTTCTACTGGAAAGGCTTACCAGGACTTGACTGATGCATCCACCAGTCTGGTATGGGTGGATTTCGGCTGCTCTCCTGTGGTGGTGAAGGACTTCTTTTGATTGTGCCAAGGTACTCCTCTACAGCTGAGGGAGGCTGGGGAGATGTATGGAGGAGGAGAAGATACAGAATGTTTGAGATGACCAAGCAGACAGAGCTGTCGCCTGAAAGCAGATTATCTTGCCATAAAGCATTCCCCTGCTTTCCACATCCAGAAGATATTTTATAAGGGCATTTAGTTCCTGTATTAATAAAGGCCAGCGGGAATACGATATATGAGTAAAAGCAACGTATACAGCAATACTGTGATACGCATGGTATAAATGAGTGGCGTCTTCCTTTCTTAAATAAAATAAGTGTTATATCCCACTCCCCAAATTTCAAGGCACTGAAAGCTCCCTTAGCATTCATAAAATAGCCATTATTCCTTCTCCTTCCCCCAGTTAAGGAGGGATGATCCAAGATATCCTGTACTTGAACCCTAACAACAAGTACTCTTAATCATACATTCTCTATTTCCAACCAGGAAGCAGAGGATCTGAATCTTCCAAATATTAAAGAACCATGAAATCTGCTATAAAGTAACATCCATGTTTGTCTTCCTCTCCCCTGCCTTTCCCCTTGCATTTGTCTACCTAAGATAAATTACTGGGACAGTCTGATCCGATTCCATCCTGGTGGACAGGAACAGCTGCTGCCCCTCTGAGCATGAACGTCCCAAAACAGCTGCCTCACTTTATCCCCTGGTAGGGCAGGCCCAGCCTGCAGATTGTAGTTTGGCAACCCTAAAAAAAATGACTTGCACTTGGGCAACCCAACCAGCAAGTTTTGCACAGTTCCTCGATGGTTCTGCTTCCAAGATAGGAACTTGGCAATGGAGATTGGCAACCTCTGCATGCCAAACATGGCGGCCAATTTTCTGTCCATGTTCTTGCTTCCATATCGCCATGCACACCAGCCTTCCTGAGCTTTACTTATTCTGGCTGGGGTGGAAGGAGGTGGAAAGAAGGGAGTAGGCACATTTCCCACAACAAATTCTTCCAGCATACACAGTCATCAGCACTCAGGGGTGTCCACAGGGTCTGGTCAAAAAAGGCAAAATGGCAGCCACAGCAGTGCGATCAAAACCTGCACTGTTGTATGAGTTTTGCACGTGTAATATACATGAAAAGGGGGCAGGGCCACCATCCTGACCCTAACAGGTTAATAGCACCCATCAGTGGGAGCACCAAGTGCCGGTGAGGAACAAGGGATGAGTTTTAGCAATTCCTTCAAGCCTACACCCATTTTATTGGACTCAGGTTTATTTACTCTACAGAGAGAAGGGAAAAGTTATGGCCGGATGATACAACTTCAAAGGGAGAAATGGATACTTTAGCCTGGTGTGAAACAGCTAGTTACCTCTTTCATTAACTCTTCTATTGAGGAAGCACTGCAGTCCATGTCTGTGACCTCATTCAAGCTGCATCTGGTCCCCATCCCCATTTTGCCTGGAAGGAAATACCATTTGAGTCTCATTGCGCACTCTACCAAAAAGCGTCAAAAAGTCTGGGAGAGATTCTGAGGGTCTTTATATGAGGAGGGGGATTGAGAGAGAGAGAAGGAGAGAGAAGCAAACAAAAGCAAGGGGAAAAAATTATTCTAAAACCTCCCTCCATTTATTTGGGACTTGGTGTGGGGAGGAGTGCAGGATAAAACTGGTTTTAAGAATATTCAGACCTGACAAGGTTTTCCCCCCATTAAATCAAAAAGGCTGAGCCCAGCACAGCAGAGCAATATTTGGACACATGTTAAAATCATTAAATGAACAGTGGCCTTATTAGATGAACTCTTTGGGAAAAAAACTCGCTTTACTATTATTTTTTAAATGTGAACCGAAGAGAAGAGAACTTGCTTTTGATCACAAGCAACCAAAGGTTGTAGGTTTCGCCACAGAGACCCCCCCCCCACACACACACACACACACAGCCTTCAAAACACCACACCAAGTGAGTGAGAAAACAGCAGTTTGGTTGTTTCACAGACAAGAGAGTTAATATAATAAACAGCAAAAGCCCCGGTGCTAAGTGGGAGATTTCTTGAAATTCAGTTTTGCATGCTTGAAAAGACACCATACCAGAAGAACCACAGCTAAAAATAATGCAGGGTGTACAGCTCGGGTAAAGTCGGACATGGTGTTCTGTAACCACAGCGTTAAGCTCTGACAAAAGAGCCAACCAAGAGTTGTATTTCTGCCCACTCTCACAACCCCTGGGCCTTTGAAAATGGGGCATTTGGGGGCCAAAGCAAAAGGGTCAGAGGGGGAGCAAAACCTCTCTGCTCACACTGGTGTTAAGGGAAGAGAAGACAGCATTCAGGCATAGTAAGCTGGTTGCAATGGTTTCCAGAGAAGATGCATCAGTCAAGTAAGGTCAAAAACTCTAACGGTTTAGCTTATATCAGGGTTTTCCAGCTGGGGAATTCTGGGAGTTGAAGTCCTAACATCTGGGGGACAACTAGGCTGGAAAAGCCAGTAATTGGCTTGCCACTTCCAATAGTGCATTAAGCATATCCTGGAGAGAGAGAGAGAGAGTCAATGTGCACATTAACTCTACATGCAAGCAAAACTCTTTGAACAGACAGACAGGCCCTACACGTAAAACCTCTTTCAGGTCATTCTTAGGCGCATACGTTTTGCACATGCTCAAGAATTGGCGGCTTATCAGCCTTGCAAATAAATAAATAAATAAATAAATAAATAAATAAATAAATAAATAAATGGGGTGGCAGCCATTCCCTTTATGCACATTTAACCTAACAGGTGATCAGTTACACATCCAAAGTGGGGCGTAACTTCTGAATTACAGTGGGCTGCATTCACTGGCCTGTGGGCTTACATCTCCTTAACAGATTTTTCTGAAAAACAGGAATCACCGGCTTGTAAAAAAAAGAATGGGACTTTGCTTGCACGATTGTGGCCACCACCTTGATTTTCTTTGACCCCACCCTGGTGGACACCCCTGCTGTAAAATATATGGTGGCTTATACTGGTGGGTGGGTGTTTTAATTTATTCATGATACTTTTTTCTGGTTTCCCCCCACCGAGAACCATTTATTTGAAGTATTTTGATCTGGCTCTACGTAAGTCAGGGAAGGTTTTAGCTTCTTTTTTCCTCCAATAAAAAAAAATGTGCAGCCCATCCTCCCAAAACTTTCGCTTTGAAGAGTAGCCAATAAAAACTAAGTCAACCATCTGATGCCTGTAGCTGGACGCAAATGCGTCCAGCGGGGGCTGCGCCGAGAAGCTGTGCTGATCGTGCGGCTGGGCTCCACTTACATTTCTGTTCTTCCTCGGGAACAATGCGGTAAACCTTATAGGGCTCCGAGATGTCCAGCTGTGACCTCTCCGTCACTTCTTCAAAGTCAGGGCTCTTATTTAAGGCACAACGCAGTCTGGTTTTCCATGTCGCCGGCTCTGCTTTGTCACCTTCCTTGTATTTTCCTTTGAATATTGCCCATGCCTAGAAGAATTGGCATGAAGAGTTCTCACAAGGACACAACTACGTGAGATCCTGATTTTAGAAAGTGGCAAAGGGCTCCTACTAAGGAAAGACATCGAGTGAGGCCATCTGCACAGTCCAAGTGCCTTGATGGGCATCTGGTCCCGTGAAGGCCAGTTCTCTTTCTTATTCTTATGGTTCTTCAACCTCTCATGATCTCCCAGTGCCACCACCCATGCCACATTGAAACATCTTGCCCACTATTTTAAAAATGCATACAGGTAGCCCCTTTAAAATATAAATTGTATTGATAACAAGGTGGGCTCTGCTGCTTTTTTCTGGCTATTACGACTCCCTATCATCTAAGTTGCACGGCTCTCCAATTCAGCACCACAGCAGTACTTAGCAACGAAATACAAACACCTCCTTGGTGGTGGTGAGGAATTGGGATTTCACACATTTTAAAACAATCCGGCTTCAGGGGCAATCAAAACATGTTCTATGTAACCACGTGAACAGAACTTGGTCCAGCGTAAGAACCCATTTCTACATGATGAAAAAGAAAGCCACATCTAAAAAAAACTAAGTGGGACACAGAGATTTGTGGGATTTAGTTTAACGAAACTCACTCAAAAAAGGGTAGGCAACTTCTTATTTGAGACTTCTCTGGATCTTAGGCAAAACTACCAACAACTCAGAAAAAAGGAGTGCCTGTGGTTTCCATCAAAAGACTGTTGTTAATACCTTGAAAATAGATGCATCCACCTCTTGATTATAATCCTGTTTTCCCGCATGTTTCCATGGGATACGGAACATGGTTTTCTCTTCATTCTCCCAGATCAGTCCAGGATACATCGCACTATCGATTTGTTCAATCAGCCATTGTCTGAGCCGTCTTCCGCCGTTTCGGTCACACACCCTGTAAGGGAGACATGTCAGGGGCCTTCCTAAGGACCTTTCCAAATCCAAGTCCCTTACATCTTACTGTGGAGCTCCAGTATTGTCAAAGATTCAGTCTCTAATCCTATGCCCCATTTGTAACCCTTTGTGAAATTGATTTGACAGGTTTCGACAGGGTGGCCTCCAGAAGGAAGGTGCATCTTTGCACGGTAGCTACAAATCTGGGAAACAATAAAAAAAAAGTCTGGTGGTTGTAACATAATGTAAACCATGGAGCGTTTGGGGCAGATATCCCCTCCCTGTAGAGTGCTCTTGTACAGAAAGCCATAAACTCCATGTGAATATCTTGTATTTTAATTGACGCTATTGTACATTCTACTCCAGCTAGATAGCAACACTTAAAACAATGTTGGCTGATTCTGAAACTAATAAGCAGAGTTGGTCATGGTTAGAACTTGGATCCTGGGGCTGAAGACTAGGAAAAGAATGTTCCAGAAGACAGTAATAACAATTTCTGTATTTTTGCCAAATAAAACAAACCCTACCTGGACATGCCCTTGAGATCATAAGGAGCCAAGCTTGACCTGAGGGCAACTTCCTCTTTATCTGATCAATGTTCTATATTTTACATCAACTGGATTAACTTGCTAATAATTTATTTGGGGTCTGTTGCTCATGCTTCATTTAAATAGATTATTGTCCAGGCACTAGACCAGTGCTTCTCAACCTTGGCAACTTGAAGATGTGTGGACTTCAACTCCCAGAATTCCCCAGCCAGCAAGGTTGAAAAACACTGCACTAGACATATATTCATACATTATTGTGTAATGTTTTGTCTTTTCTTTAAGATGTTTATTTCTAAAGGTTACATCAGAACATTTCAAACAGGACAATATGTAAAAATTAAAAGTAATGTTGAAATTAATCCAATTAATGGAATGTTAGTACAGGCCTATTTTATTCTTTATCCTATCCACCCTAGCCAGTCCAAGCTCAATTATGCATCAATCATGAACTGAAAAATTTAGACCCAAGGTTACCAATACTAGCTTCTCCAACTCATAGATCACTAAATACCAGACCCCAAAGACCTCCAGATTAGCAACAGGTTCAAGCTCTGAACAGGCCTCCAGAGGAACAACTTTTGTAAATGGAGGAAAACAGGAATCCACCTTGAATTCTTGGTCCATCAACAATGATTGACAGCACTTCCCTTGCATTCCTACCTGACCTGAAACTGCCAATCTGAGATTTTTTTCCCATGCAAAGCACGCATTTTACCACCAATCTACAATCTTTCCTCTTGACGTAACAACTTCAAAGAGACTGCCATGTTGATTTGTTGGAAGCTACCCAAGGTCTTCTTGGTGGCATCAAGTTAGAGAGAGAAGAAATGGCCTGTGTCATCAGAACTAAAGCCAATAGCAGTCTGTCCAGAATGCTTCTGAGACGCTCCCAACAAGAGATCCAAATTATGAACAACCTTTTATAATATGTGGAAGGTTATGTCACAGCAGAATATTAAGTGAAAAATTTCAAATATATAGGAAAGATCAACACAGCATGAAAGTCTGTCTAATCTTTCCCAGTATTATGTTCCTGATCACAAGTGTTTCTTCTCACAAGAAGGCTCTATCAGCTTCATTGGGGATAAGATACAAATTGAGATAAACCACAACCGAGAAAAAAAATGGAACTTCAAAAACTGCACAAGAGATGCGATTCCAACTGCATTTTAAGGAAGTCTCTTTGTTAAGGAAACGTTCAATATAAAATTGCATGAGAAAATGCTTCAGCTAGTGTGGGAGAAAAAAATTGCCCCAAACTATCTTTAATCAAGAACTATTAACAACTGTCCTTGAAGAAGAGCTTCCTCAAAATGTTGTTGGAATCAGATTAATTTTGCAGTGGTCTCTCTCTTTTTAAAAATGGAAATATTCAGATACCCATGGGAGAATAACCTAGAGCAAGAAGAATAAAGCATCATGTTTTGCTATTATTATTGTTTTGTTCAAAGAACACGGAGAATAAAGACATTTATTATTGTAATTTCGTAATTTCAATTGATTTTAACTGTTTGGAAACCGCCCAGAGGCATTCAGCGAGATGGGCGGTGACAAATTTGATAAATAAATAAATAAAATCATGTTTTGCTATTATTATTGTTTTGTTAAGGTAACAAGTTCCAGCTGGAATGGTAGAACCCATTTCCTGAATTGCAGCCATCTCTGGTGACCATAGATAGCATCATGAGGTTTTAATGGGATTGAACAATCTTGGGTTGACCTCCTCAATTGTCCAATAGGATTTATTCCCATGTAAATCTACTTGGTGCACCTCGGCTGTTGCCAATCCTAAACCCAAATGAGAAAGGAAGAAGATTGGGCATCAGGCTATCACCCTGACCCCCTCCAAGAGTTTCACCACTACTGAAACTACAAATGCAATTCAGTGAGATCTGATCACAATTGCTGGAGAGCCATCACTGCGTAATGGACTTTACAGCACAGTCAACTCTAAGTTTCGGTAAGCAGATGTCCCTTGGCAGACAGACATTTTAGCAAGGGACTTGCCATGATCAGAAGCAACAGCTTCTTATTCATCTAAGTCGCAATGTACCGAGCCTTAGAGATCAGGAATTAAACCGTGGATACCTATCACACAAACCACACTTCAACGGGAACCCAGAATATCACACTGCAAATTCTTTGTAGAATTTTATGTTCTAAATCTCAGTTCTGGGGGAAGGCTTCTCTTCTCCCACTTTTGTTTCTCACCATTACTCTAACCCAGAAGAAAAACGGTTCTGCGCTTTTTGACAGTTCTGGGAACGAATGCAAATTATTACCAATTATACTGCTTAATGAACAATTTGCACAGGCCTTGTTGATCCCACTGTATATAGTCAAAGGCTTTCTATACTACCCTCTTTAAAGCTGCATACAGAAAGGATATAATTTGGGCTTCTCAAGCTGGTGTGCCATTTTTAAAACTCTGGCCACCATTTCCTTTTAAAGCCAGTCAAAAAACAGCAGCAACAGTCCAATGAACACATATGTTCCACAGGAAGACCTCTACAGTGCAACTCTGCAAACTAATTCAGAAGTCGGTCCCCTGAACAGCACATGTAAATTCAGGAGGACAGCAGCCTCTATGTTCTTCAGGACCAACAAGTTCCAACTCTGCTTCTAGACCAGGGTTTCTCAACCTTGGCGCCTTGAAGATGCGTTGACTTCAACATGCTGGCTGGGGAATTCTGGAAGTTGAAGTCAACTTCAAGTCGCCAAGGTTGAGAAACACTGTGATCTAGGCAAACTTCGAGTGCACAGTCATTCGGCCTGGTCCACCAGGAGAAGGCATGTCTATCTCCGTCCTCCCCTTCCATCTCTTCTTACTGCTTCTCCTCCCATCATTTCTCTTTCGAAGCAGCTACTTCAGGAGGGAAAGCGACCGGATGGCAACGCAAGGATGGCGCCTCCTCTCATTTTCACTATGGGAAGAGCCCAAAGCCGCGAGAACCAACCCAGCCTTCACCCAAAGGTGAGAGTGGCAGGGTCAAAGGAGACAGTCAGGTCCAACAGCAGCGAAGAACGGGTGTCCAAGGTCCGGGCGCTCTGCCAGCGCGGGCGAAAGGGCACCTTCCCCTGGACCTGGAAGCCCAACTTCCCTCCCTGACACCGAGCGAGCCACCCGGCTGGCGCGCGCGTGCCCGCCCTCCTCCGGGAGGTCATCCCCCTCGCCCCCCCCACTGACCTGCTCCACATCTGGACCGGGCCGGCTGCAGCGAGGTGAGAAGCGCTCCCCAGGTTAGGCGCCCTTCCGCCAGGTCCGCCCGAAGCTCGCGCTTTTAGTATCCACCGCCCCGCATCTTTATATCCCCGGCCGAGTGGAGGGCGTCCGCGAGCAGGTCTTTCAGCCAATGGCAAGCTAGAGCGGGAGGCAAGCTGGCCAATGGGAGGGGAGCATGCCCAGGGGTTTCTTGCCACCGCGCCCCTTTCCGAGAAATCAGCGGCCGCGCGTCACTCTCTGCTGCCAGGTGGGAGTTCTTGCTCGCGCTGCCCGGGTCGGCGGCCGTCGCCCGTTGGCGTCTCTCGGGCGCGGG